GCCAAACTCATTAACATTACAAGCTGGGCTGAATCTTGGGGTGAATGGTAGCGCACCAAAAAATACACTGACACATTGAGTTGATTTTTGTAGATTACCTTCAATGGAGAATAAAAATAGTCCATTACAACAAAATGAACACTGAAACATCAAAATATTAACTCACATTTTATTACTTTTAAATAATAAACAAGAGGTTGCAATTTAAGCTATACTTGACTTCCGCTATAAATTTTCCTTTAGTTTCTACAAGTTCTCATTCAGTTTTTTGCGTATCGCTTTCTTACCAGATTCTCAATCATCTGAGCAAGAGTTTATTTATTGCTTTAACTAGACCCTTCAGCTTCTGTCCAAGCATCAAAGGATGCATCTTTTCATTATAGCTGTCATCATGCAATTACAATACGGAAGTCTTCTGACGGTCGTCTGAATTTTACCAGTGTGAGAAGCATGATGACGCTAATTGCCCACTCTAGTTGTGTTTGTATAACAAGAGAAATTGCGAAAGACCGCGTGACACATGAAAGTAGGACCGGAATAAGAGATGGATTTCCATTTGGTGAGCTCTGACCCAAAGCAACTAGAAGGCAAGCCTGCAACTTTTAGCCAAAAAAGCTTAACGGCTAATGCTAACGCTTCCGCTTTGGCAGTAGGTGGGAAAGGAGACCAGAGGCCGTTTTTTTTTTTATGGATGTCAATGGAGCGAACGAATCTGCTGCGTGATTCGGAGGTTAGATGCGTACATATGTACCGGCGGGACATGAGCTAACATACACTTGCTGCACGTTGCATAAAACGTTAAAAATGTCAATATGTGGGAGTAAGAGAAGAGCAGACATATGGATAAATCTGACGACGCAAGAGAGAACTCAATTCGGTCCGGTTTTTTGAGCGTAGACACTGAAGCATACGCACAGAGAAAGCGCGTCTCACAGCGCGCGAGTACTCTCACGTCGCATGAACGGAGAATTACACAAAATTATGTCGAATTGTCCATTTTGACGAATATTCACGTAAACACAGTTGATTACGTCTTAAGTGAACGTAAACAGTAGGGAGAACGTGTATCAGTACATTGCATCCATTACAGCTCTGCATTCGGTTTTAAAGGGATAGCAGCCCAATTTTGTTGCTATTTCCCGAGTCATTGACGTTATTTAAGCAACAAAAGAAAGACAGAAAATCTCTGCTCTTGACTGAAAAACTTTAGTAGCCCTAAAGATTAATAACATTTATTTATAGAAATAAATGTCTGCTTGAAAGAATGAAGAATATGATAAACAAGTTGCTATAAAGAATGCATAATTAGCCTATATAACCATTGGTATTTCATTAAAAAGAAGACATGTTCTTGTTCTTTATGAGAAGTGGTTTTATTTAATTTTAACATAAAGGCATGTTGAATGTCACCGCAGTTAAATCGGTGTCTATCATGATAAAACCTTAATATCAAACCTATATAATGAGTTTGGAAATTTTGTGAAAATAAGCATCTTTCAGATCCACAGCTATGAAATGGTCCCTGGGCTGAATGTGCGTGAGGATCTGCTTCACTGTAATCATCTTGAACGCGTGTTTTGTGTGCTTTGTTTAGTGGTCTTAGATCTAGAATGGGACGCATGCCCTCGTCTTTTTTTGGGACAAGGAAATAACGGCTGTATAGCCCGCACTTCATCTGCTCCTCGGGTACTATCTCTACTGCCTGCTTGGCTAGGAGGGAGGAGATTTCTGCCCGTAACAGTGGGGCGCTCTGTTCTGACACTTCTGACATAATCACGCCACCGAAGCGGGGTGGTCTGCGAGCAAACTGAAGAGTATAGCCGCGCTTTATAGTGTTGATCACCCAATCTGACGCCGACGGGAGCGCTGCCCACGCACTCAGGTGGCTCGATAATGGAGACGGTAGTGTTCGCTGTGGCGAGGGCTGTGTTCCAGTCGCCGGTGAAACACCGCTGCTTAAAAGAACGCCAGGTGACACATCTGCGGCGCGTTGCATGTGTACATCTGCATCTGAAAAGTCAGGCTGCACCGAGCTTCCGCTCCACCAAACATCCCCCGAAGGAGAGGTTTTGCTTATATCGCAGGTAATAGTCAGGGGAGGAAAAGAACCCTTTTGGTGAGGCATGTAATGTTTTATGTTTATTGCAACAAACACATCGGTTTCAACATAACATTTAAACATACATTCTCGGGGTTCTCTTCTGGCCGCCGCTGAGCGAGAACGCACTCTTTTGGCCGCTGGCCCGTTGTCGTGCATGGACCGCGCCCTTTTCCTCCTGGCATGAACATCAGGAACGCTGCTCTTTTTTCTCTACGGGCCGCACCTGCTGATGAGGGGCCGGCTTCGCGCCGAAGCGGGATTTCTTGAACTGCCTCTGACGAAGCGGCGGCTCAGGCTCGCTGGTGGAGCACGACCAGCATATCCATCCGATCGCTGAGCTGATGATGATCTGGACCTTGGCCTGGGGGGAGGAGCGTTAGATCGTTTGGGGAGGAGGTGCGTCAGCATCTTCGACTGCTTTAGTGCTTTTGTATACTTAACAGAAAAAACCTCCACCGCGACACCAAAGAGACCCTGCGGGCTCACCGGGGCGTCGAGGAGCTTCTCTCACATCTCCATAAGCGTCAGCCACAGGTGACGATGCAGAACCACAAGGCTGCCCATATTGCGGCCGATTCCCTGGGCGGCCTTTTTAGATGCGGCCAGGGCTAGATCAGCTGCTGTCCGCAATTTGTGGAGTGACTCTGGGTCCGGGCCTTCTTCGTCCAGTGACCTCAGCAGTCACGTCTAGAATACCTGCAGGATTGACATCGTGTGGAGGGCAGACGCTGTGTGTCCTGCAGAAATATATGCTTTTTCAGCGATGTGAGCTGTGGCTTGACATGGCTTAGAAGGCAATGAGGCGGTTTTCCAACCTCGGGACGGACATAGATGAGCCACGACGGCGTCCTCAACTGAAGGCGGTCGCGCGTACCCTCTTTTCTCTGCCCCCTCCACTGCCGTGAGAAGCTGAGTTCCTTGTGCATGGGCTCGGGCTGAGTGAGGGGAGCGCCCTGAACGAGTGAGCTCTTTGTGGAGCTCAGGGAAGAAAGGGGCGGGTCTCTGTGGTGCGTTCGCTTGGCGGCTCACGTCGAGGAATGACCTGTCCATTCAACGTTTAGACGGCTGTTCAGGGGATGCCCAGTCCAACTACAAATCTGCTACAGCCTCCTTAGCAATTCCTCGCAGGCTCTGCAATCCGATCCTTCAATTGCTGCCTCAGCATGGGCCAGGCACAGCACACAATCCTCGTGTGCATCTGGAAAGTCGACGGGCCCACCACACATGCGGCAAAGAGACATCTTCAAAGTAGGTAATACTTGTAATCCGCCGGAAGGCAAGAGGGGATCGCTATCCGCGTCGTCCACTCTAGTCGCGCAGATCAATGGCAAAATCAGGCTCCAGGTGAAGGAGAAAGATTCTGAGGTATTCTGGCACCCGACATAGCTTATATAGTGGCTGAGCCAGCCAATCAGGTGAATGCTCGGACACCATTGGCTATTGCAAAGCAATAGAGTGATTCAATCAGTCTTCAGCATTTTGAGGAAAAGGGTTTCCCCATAGTAATGCAGAGAAACCGACTCCATACAGGAACAACAGCCAAGTAGTCCCTCTAGAGTAGATTATTTTTGATAACAAGCAAAATATGTTTGCTGCGTAAATCAGATGCGCTGAGCTCACAAACGCTGCTTTATCAGGCATATAAATAACATGCAAGATGAAATGTAAATGACATCGAAAATTTTCTAAAGATAGTCTTCCTTCACAAATACAGTGATATAAAAACACCCGCGCCTTGTTTTGATTTTTAAACATGCAGTACATGCTCATGTTTATTCAACGAAGCCTGTTGGAAAATCGGTCAGTTTTGATATTGTGGCGAGCGCCACAAATAAATAAATGTATGGGAAACACATACCACAGCACAACCACCTGAGCCCAACTTCAGTCTACTCATCACCTTAACCTTAACTGTGTTTGTAGTCGGTGCCATAGCCAGACTAATAAACAAACACAGACTGGAAGTTAACTTCGGGGCAGGTGCGTGCACCCGATGAAACCGCCTATATGACAATCTCTGCTCTGACCTGTCAGAGACAGTTAAACAGATAAGGATATAAATATCAGATTCACCTCTGAATTCAATGAACACAGAAACTTTAAGCTGTATGGTTTGCAGTTTTGTGGGGTCTGTAAGTAATTTCACATGCCGTGGTGTGACTGTCTTTACTCGAATGAGCAGAGATTATTCAGAAATATTTGACAGCAAATGACCAATCAGAAACAAGTATTCAAGAGAGCTTTGTTATAATTCTAATAACTCCGTGTAGGACTGGTTCACACATTTACAACTTTTAGAACATTACATTGCTTGAGGTTAGTAAGATGCAGGTTTTTGCACAGAAACGTGGCAACGGCCCAAAAATTTAGTGTGCTTGACCCAATTAAATGTTTTTCCTGCATGCACCAGATTCAGCAAAAGAATTTACCTGTGATGCAATGATTGTAAGATAAGATCCTGTGTAAAATCTATGGAAAACTCCCACAAAGAACAGCATTAGTCAAAATCATCGTACAGTAAACTAGGTACTTTTCCATTAACACATCACTGGGTGTGGAGCTTGAATCTCTTTAACTGTAACACACATTTGACAGATCGGTTTACAATATTGTTAGCTCTTTCCTGTTTTTTTCAAAGGGGAAGTTATTAATTTCTGAAGTGCATTCTCAAGAAGAGTAGAAAGCCCATGGTTTACAGTATCTAGGCTACTAACAATGGCATCTTTGCCAAAAATGGTTGAATACAGCATAAAATGCAATAATGCAATAAAATGGTTTAAATCTGTGATTCAAAAATGAGGCCTAACTTTATTTAATCAGAATACACACAATGATCATATTAAAGCTGTTATGAAATGTAACATGACTGGAAAACTGTACTGACAAACTATCCAAGTGACTATGTTTTAAAATCTGAGCTTAGTGAAATGGTTTTACAGAAAATATTTTCCGGTTGCTTCAAAATGTTCTGATTTTGGATAATCCACGAAATAAAATCTGTCTGGGAGCAAGAGCAATCGATGGGGTTAGAGGACAAATCAAAATCTGAAAGGTTTGTGGGCAAATTTTGGAGAACATGAAGTGGGATGCTAGTAATGCTGTTTTTATCGACATAAAGGGATGTTAATTGTTTCAGGTTTGGGAGGGCCAGAAAATCTATAGTCATTAAATGGTTACCTCGGAGATTCAGAAGTCTAAGCCTTTGAAGATTTTTGAATGAGCTTGGATGTAACTCTACCACACGACCATACGACATGTCAAGGTGCTCTAGAAAAGTGAGATTATTAAATAAATATCTTGCTACATCACCCTGAAAATTATTGCCGGCAATCTTGAGAACATTAAGATTCTTCAGTCCATAAAAGCTGAATATGTTAGTAAAGGTGATTCTTGAATAAGAAACATCCAAATACCTCAAATACTTTAAGTTGGACAAAACTGAAAGGTATCCGATACGTACAACAGTTGAACGGTAGAAATCTAAAATCTCAAGGGCATCAAGTCCATCAAATCCTCCTACATCAAGACCAATTTCTGCATTTCGACTGAAATTCAAATATCTGATTTGAGGGGTGCCAGACAAAAGTGTGGTGCAGCATTGTTTTAATGTAATTCGGTTAGAACTTAAATCCAAATACTGAAGCTTAGGCATGTCTATGAAGGCATCAGCCCAAATAGGTGCACTGTTGTGTGTAATTACTAGTTTTTCTAAAGTATGGAGATGTGAAAGCTGTTTACCTGGCAAAGTACTTAACTTAATGGAAACCAAGTAAAGCTCCTTGATTTCACGAAAATGTACATACTCCATTTCATTGATTAGACCTCCGATTACTGCTACATTTGTGGCATTAATCATACAGCGAAAGACAGAAATTGGCTTACTAGGCTTTTCCATGATGTAATAATATACCTCCTGGAAATATATAGAGCACAGACCATCTAAAAAGTCAGTATCTGAAAATTTAAATCTGAAACTGTCCTTGTGCTTTCCAAATTTCAGCCTTTTGACATTAAGACCATATAGAGCTTCAAGACCAACTTTCTGAGCAGCACATGAAATAAAGACAGATCGGATGTCCAATTCTCCGAGATAAATGCCTTTGAAAGCTCCTGGTTCAATATATAATAAGGGATTCCAAGAGAGAATCAAAGTCATGTTTCTGCCGATCTCTCGCAACACAGCAGTGTGATCAGTTTTGATGATGGATATATTATTTGCATGTAGATCAAGTAAACTGAAGTCCTTTAAGTTGCTCATGAATGAAGGGAGAGACATAGACTGGATGTTATTTGTCCCGACTCTAAGCTCCTGCAGCTTGGTTAGGTTATTCATTTGAAGCTGTAAGGATGAGAGACCCGCATCCACAAGAACTAGTCTTTGTAGATTATGTAAAGAATTCAAGCATCCAGGTCCAAAGTATGTAATAGGGTTTCCAGTGAGAATCAAAGTAGCCAAATTCTTCACATTGTAGAAAGTATCATTTTCAATGTGCTCGATTTGGCATCTGAAAACAAATATACATTTAATATAATTTATAGAGCAACACATTACACAACATATTTAGATGATAACAGTATTGCTTACTTTGATAGATCAAGGACTCGTAGAAAAGACAAAACTGGGAAAACAGTCTTCTGCAAGTGTTTCAGAACATTAAAACTGAAATCCAGAGTTTGAATGGAGGAAGGAATACTGGGTGGTATACAGCTGAGGTTTCTTCCCATGCACGAGTAGTGCTGACTGTCAGTAACCTTCAGTTAAAAAAAAAAATTTAAATAAAAAAACTCAAATTTCACACACACAAAAATAAGGAAAATATTTAAATTCAGAAAACTTACTTTAGTACATGATTCTCCAGCCCCAATAGAAAAAAATATAATGAAAGAACTAATAGTGAAGGAATTCATCTTTACTCTTCTCATCAAGATTTTCTCAACCTCTCATAAAATAAGCCAGACTAGTTTGAGGTCATTGAATATGAGGAACTAATGCCATGGTTTTAAACAATGAGGAATTTTGGCTGAAAATACATAAAGAGAAGTGATCTTGAATAAGCAATTCATTTCCAAAAACATTTCAAAAGACTTTAAATAAAAGTTTCATAAAGAAAATTACCTCTGCGATTCACAATAAATCATGAATTGTTGAAACGGACATTTACATTACTAAATCTCCAGTAACCATGATCACCAACAACACAGGAAACGTTTAACTGACTGCTCAGGACTTTGATTGATAAATAATCTACCGGCCTTAATGTAAAAAGCAAATGCACTATACCTGTTAAGAAAATATCTACACATGTAATCTCAATCACTGGAAACAAAACATATTTAAACCTAAAAGCAAGGCACACAGAAGGATGATGAACATACCAGCAGGTGGCCCTGCACACACATATAACACAAGGTCACTTCAGTCAGAAACTTGCATTTCCCGTTTACTTTGCTACCAGGATAACCTTACCAATAATGACTCTTTTAGTATGATCTGACCTTCAGATTTTAACAACAATCCTACAAATTAAATGTTAAATATTAAGTCACCAATAATGTATTTTCCTCGATGACAGGATAAATACCATTTAAACAATGTTAAATACACTTTATACAGCAAACCTTGATGAAAGCAGACAGGTACTATAAAAACACTATGAACCTGTTGATAGTCAACAACCTTTATTTATCCATATATGTAAGCCACTCAACGATGGGGGAATGGACAAATAGGACAAGAATTGACCGCTATAGAGGGCAATCAACATATGGATCAATGGCAATGTAACTTTCTTTAACCTCTATTCTACAAAGAGGCTTGTTGACAGACAAGTAAATTAAAAGACAGAAGTAACAGTGTAAACATTCATGTACAGAGAAGCAAAAAAAAAAGTCAGAAGTCAAATTAAAACATTGATTAGTACGTAAAGAAACAAAAAGGGAGCAGGAGCAAAAACTTTTTTTTTTTCCTATTACAGCTCGGCATATATTTCTACATGGCATGCAATAAGGCACCTAACTAACACAATGAATAAACCTATGCTACGTGATGAAGCACAATTGTTATCCAATGAAAAAGAAAGTAGTTCTGATACAACGTTCACTCCCATAAAAACAGTATTCCTTTCATTTCCCTTTCAATTACCCAAACCTTATTAAAAAAATACATCAGTTTGTAAAAGACTTTCTCCATACACAGAACTGTAAACGGTTTTAATCGCACACCATGTTCCAGAATGACATGTATGCATCTAGTCATGTGAACATTACACAGGGGATTTCAGTGTCAATCATACCAAATTGAAATTCATTGCTCTTAAAAAGCCAAAGGATTTGATTTTACAAGTTCCCTCAGAGCAGGTCCACGCCGACTTTATGGATTTTCTTGCATCTTTTGCCAAACCCTTTAACATTACAAGCTGGCCTGAATCATGAAATGAATGGTAGCACACCACTTGTGGGAGAGAAAAATCGTGACAAGGAAGAAGAATGGTTGAAACCCTTGTCGCACTGAGAGCAGCGGTAGGGCTTTCCACCCTGATGGACCAGCTGATGCTTCTTGAGGTGCCGTTTCCTGACAAAGCTCTTCCGACACTGGGTGCACTTGTAGGGCTTCTCCCCTGAGTGGATTCTCTGATGCTCTCTCAACGTGGCTGCTGCTGCAAAACACTTTCCACACTGGGTGCATCTGTGCGGCTTTTCACCAGCATGAGTCTTCTGGTGCTGCTTGAGATTGGAAGCCGTCATAAAGCCTTTTCCACACTGAAGACAGGTAAAAGGCTTGTCGTGGGCATGCAGCTCTTGATGTTTTTTCAAATGACGTCTGCGCACAAAGCTTTTTCGACATTGGGTGCATTTGTAGGGTTTGTCATCCGAATGCATTTTCATGTGTTCCCGGAGAGTGATGGCAGCAGCGAAGCTTTTGCCACACTCTGAACATCTGTGTGGTTTTTCAGGAGAGTGCATCATCTGGTGGGGTTTCAAGTTGAACGCATCAATGACTCCTTTACCAACCATCTCAAGACCAGTGGTATAACTTTTCTCTTTCATGTGAATCCTCATGTGACTTCTTAGGCTGGCTTCAACAGCGAAGCTCTCACCACAGTGGACGCAAATGTAGGGATGAGTGGCTTTGTGGATTTCAAAGTGTTCGTGCAGATCAGACATACAGCCAAAAATCTCACCACACTCACTGCATTGCAGGCCATGGGCTTCATGGATGATAACGCCATTCTCTGACTCCACTGTAAGCTCCCCTCCGTGATCAGACTCCACCTTTACGATATGTTCTCCACCACCTATCTCCGTCTTCAACAGCACCTCACCGAGCAAATGCTCATTGCCTTTGATTTCTGCACTGCTGAAGTACTGATGATGATCGTGGTGTATTTCAGATTTAATGTAGTCATGGTCTGTCTCCGTTACCACATCCACACAGGTCACTGCCCCTAAATCACCATGAATAGCCTCTAGGTCAAGTCTTTTGTCCTCCTGAGTCATAATCTCAGTTTCCGCTCCATAATGCAAGTCCCCAACTTGCGTATGGGCAATGACACACTCCGATCCCAACGTATCGAGACCTGGTGTGTCACAGTCAGTCTCTGACTCAGCCATCAGTACGCACTCCAGCCTGACGACTTCCGTCTTCCCGGTTAAGTGAAACTTAGCGTTGCTCTACGAGCCCCGCTTTCCCGCAAAGAAACTTGAAGGGTTGCCCGTCACAGGCTCAGTCAGTTCTTGAGTCAGGATCAGTCCTGCCTGTTGGAAGACAGCAAACATTTAAACTCATCTGCATAATCATAATGAAATACTTCAGCTGAAAACATTTAACTTTTATATTGATTTTACCGCCTGAGAAAAAGTAAAATCATGAAAAAACATGCAGAAAATGAAGTCGTGATCTTACTTTTTAGTAAATACATGAACATGAATACATTTACAATAAATGAAGTAAATACGCATAAGCAATAAGTAAATAAGCATTACAATAAATGAATTTCTGCTATTCATGTAACAAAGAAACACACAGCTTCAACATAATGAACAATAGGCAAATTATAAGTTTAGACAAACTTGAAACCTACAAAAAAAAGTTATGAGGCCATAGAATAAGCATAAATACAACAATCAATATCCTTTTAAGGTAGAAAAGAGGGCTGCATAGACAAACAGAACTATGACCTGGGCTATACACCACTGCTTGCAAAAACATTTTATGGTTAAAAATTGTAAACAAAATCAGGCTGATCTAGAAACAATCATAAGCTAGTTAGCAGAAAGACCTCTGGCTACAAATTGGCTAAGGTTAGCCTATAGACAGTTTATATTTGGCTAACTTGACAGGGTAGGTATATATGAATCTACTGATCAGACATTTAAATTTCTCAAGCCAAATGAACAACATCAAACAACAATGAAACCCTTTAAACATGCCATCAATTTAGAATCAACTAAAACCCATGTTTTCAACTCTCAACTTCCACACAGCTGGTTTGCCACTGCTGGCTAGGTTAGCTGGCTAAATAGCTGCTAGTTAGCTTCCTTGAGCATGTATTATCAGCTAACTAGCACTATAGCTAGATCTTAAAATACTGAATTGAAAAGGTGACAGGCCGCCTTGAATTCTTAAGTTTACTTATCATTTCTCAGTCATACATATACGTCTTAGTTGCGTTAAAGTCACGGAGAGACTGATTCTACAGCTTCGAGAAAATACAAGGCGTTTAACGGTGGGCATCTTGTGCGCCAGAGGTTGGAACAGCTAACTAGCTGTAAAATGGCCGCCGCGACTAGCTTCCGCCCCTCATAAAAGCACGCAGAGGCAGCACACGACGTGAACAAATGCAAATAAACTAGGTCATGTTAGTTGACTACTTTTATTGCTCGCTGGGAAGCTGTGCTGTCGTAGCTCTAAAAGGTCAAGATATCAAGGTATAAACAAGGCAAACAGCTCGAGATAATGGCTAATCACAGATGTAAGCTATTCGCGAAAGCCCGGGAAAGGCGCCCCCCTTCTTACATAACGCGTTTTTGTTTCGTGGCGTCGAATTAAAAGCAATATAACATGCTCTCAACGTCTTCTGTGGCTATACGTTATTCTGTAATCATCCAAATCATCTGCATGGCGCTGCTATAAGCTGTGCTTATCGTGCTATAGTCCTAGCCCATTTTTAGCTGCGTGAAACAAACATGGCCTGTTTTCTTGCTAAGCTGCCTCGCTAGCGGAACACTAGCTGCCTCCGCCGCCATTGCTACAAAACACCTCCGAACTCCGTGACGTCCACAATCCATCGGTAGCGCGGACCGAGCGCCACAAATCACCGTGAGCTCATAAAATGCATCAAAATACAGCATATGCCACAACCAATGACATAACGCAAATTAAATAAGAACACTGTATCAAATATAGCACGCTAGTTAGCCAGCTAAGTTAACTAGCAAAGGTAATCTAAAAACCCTGACGCACATACACATTAAGCGTTCATATATTAACGTATTTTTGTAAACACTTCCGACCTCTTGGCCCTTTAATGGCTCTTTCGCGAGATGCGCTGCTGGTCGTCGCGGCGTAGTCTACAACCTGAAGATCTTCGTTCCGTTGCGTCTGTACTGCCTGGTTGCGGTTTGCACTCGGTCACTCTTTCTCTCGCTCTCTCCCTCCGTACGTACGTAGCGGGATGGCGCTGCGGATCATCTGGCGCCAACTATGTTGGAGCGCATGAGCACAAAAAAAAAACAAAGCGTTGAAGAAACAAGCGCTCGACCACCCCCTGTCGTCCTGGCAGAAGGAACATTCGTCTTCAGACCCAACTAAATTATATACAGTGGGTACGGAAAGTATTCAGACCCCCTTAAATTTTTCACTCTTTGTTATATTGCAGCCATTTGCTAAAATCATTTAAGTTAATTTTTTTTCCTCATTAATGTACACACAGCACCCCATATTAGATCAAAAGGGTGGTTCTACTAAATACTGAGCAAAGGGTCTGAATACTTAGGACCATGTGATATTTCAGTTTTTCTTTTTTAATAAATCTGCAAAGATGTCAACAATTCTGTGTTTTTCTGTCAATATGGGGTGCTGTGTGTACATTAATGAGGAAAAAAAATTAACTTAAATGATTTTAGCAAATGGCTGCAATATAAAAAAGAGAGAAAAATTTACGGGGGTCTGAATACTTTCCGTACCCACTGTATATATATATATATATATATATATAAAAAATGAAAAACAGGGTAACACTTTACAGTAGGGTTCAATTTGTTATTGCATGAGATACCATGGGCTAACAATGAACAATACCTTTATAGCTTTTATTAAACATGGGTAATGTTAATTTCTACATTCACTAATACATTGAAACATTTCAAACTGCGTAAACTAACATGAATGTATTATGAACTGACATAATAATACATGAATCTAGATGTTATGATAAAATGATAATTGTTCGTTTATATCTAATGCATTAACTAATGTTATGAATTGAACCTTATTAAACCAAAACGGCAATACATTATTCCTGAACTCACCTAATAATAAACTACAAGTAACCAGCCCAAAAGAAATGAAAGCTTGCCAGCAGTGTGCGAGCACAGGTGAGCCATAGATGTCAGAGTTCTTGATTTGATCTACCTGCTCAAAATGATCTATCAGTAGTTCAAACTGTGATCTTTTAAATTTTATGGGTCATTATCATAGCTCATCTGTCAGGGGGGAAAAATTGATCTTGTCATGCTGAAAATATTATCAGGATGTCCTGGCGACAAGCCTGACATATCTTGTGAAGGAGGAGTAAACGTTAATCATAATATTAAAAGGATGTGTGACTATGCTGTGGCCATCCTGAGAAAACATGGCTTCCTCAAAACGGACTGTGTTCCCACTGTGATCAGGGAGCACTAGGGTGCGCCCTTTCCCTTAAAACATTTGCTTGTTGACAATTTCTGAGGGAAAGGGTAAAGACAAATACAGTGTTCGTATGTTTTGAAAGAAAAAGAAAAATACAAGATCTTGCTTTAAAACTATAGCTTTAAGTTATTTGTCAATTTAAAACTCTAGAGTGCCAAGAACCTGGCTTCATTATGCAGATTTAATGTCACTGACCTCGGAAATTACAGTGTTTACAGTATGCCTGTGCTGTCTTTTATGAACACAGGAACACAGGCCTTTGTTCTCTGCCAGTGAGGCTGAATGAAACATGACACAGTCAGCCATCATTCAATACCTGTCATTCAGAAACCCCATCTGCTGAGCTCCTGCCTGAACCTGTAGAGCCTCTCACCTCAGCCCTCTGGTTAAAGGTGCTGGAATCAAATTGTGTGTGGCTTAATGAATCTAAAATAGATGGGAGCATGCCCCGTGAGTTTTCTTTTCAGTGCCATATAATGTGTCTGTGTTTCACACATCTTACAACAGCTATGGCTACCTCTACTTGCCTTTGTCAGTTTGAATGTTGGATTAACTGCAGGCCAATCGTGAATTTTTCATGACCATGAATGGCAGCGGTAAAGTTAAGAATATCTTCATTCGTAGCGGTACAGATTAATAATTTCAAGCTAATGTGAGGTTTGTAGACTTAAATAACTGTATGTGTGATTCAGGCACACCTCAGTTTATTTGAGATTATCATATTCAGTTTACACACTGCAGTAGCCTATATGCTTTGAGTGGTATGAGTTACATAGTAAGATTAAAATGTATTCTTAAACATTGCTTGATTTAGAATATACATTAAATGAAGTAGTTGGGGAATGTTATTTTTCATGTCAATACAAAAACATATGCCTATAGTACACATGCTCTTATTTCTATTGCTAACAGATTTATTCAGATGTTGTCACAAGACTGTCTGTCTGTTCCCCTGTAAAATATAATTAAGTTTTGACATCTCCGAATATTGTGCTGTATATCTAACAACAAGAAATAAAAGCAAAGAGAATGACACCATTTATCAACACTTTTTATTTCTGCAAATTACCTACCATTTGTACATAGATAATAGAGGTTTATTCCTCGTAATGTTCAGACTTTCTCTCTGAACAACAAAGGATCCATGTACAAAAAGATGTCAGGAAAAAAACAATCAGTTCAAATGTAAAACTGTAATGAATTAAGTATATAAACACACTACCTATATTCAGTTCTTAGTTTGTTTGTTTTTCATGAGGGGTGGGGCAGTATATTTACATTTGTGGAATTATATACATTTTTTACATGATATAACTAAACTCAGATGCTGAGCTACATTTTAATTTCCTTAAACATTCATAACAGGTGTAAGTTTGAGTAATGAACTCTGAGGGTGAATGCCATTGGAGTGGAGCTTTTCAAGGTTCTGCAGGAAACCACAATGCTTCAGTCCTTTAAGTATTGCTGAGTCACTGCAAGCTACACTCATATGTGTCCTGCAAATAATCAATGAAATAGCACAATTTTTAATCTTGGATGAAATCAACTGTAAAACTTTCAGATATGTATCTCCAAATATTAGTAAATGGTAAGTGTTTAAATACTGGCAACCATGAACCCTTGAGCTGTACTTAGTGCTTGAATTTGATTGCAGTACGAATATTTACGTAGATCTTTCAATTGTAGCAACATTAAGTGACTACATTTATGGATCAAATGCATATCTCAGATGAATGACCTCAGACTAACCTTGGAGAGTCAATCCCGCTATCAGCGGTGTAACTCTGACTCTCTGTGGTTTCTCCTGCACAGGCTCCTCTAGGGTCATTTAGGCTTGCACTGACGTTACCAGTATCCTCATTTGTTCTCTGATGGCAGTCTTTTAATTCTGGGTGACAGATCCAGTGGTTAGATTTGCCAGCTTCTGCTTCATCTGCAGATTTATGTATGGTATCAGAATCGGACTCCACTTCGCTTGCCTGACAGTAATCAAAAATACTGCTTTCCAGGGCTTCGTTTTGTTCATCATCTCCCAAACTGGATTCTTGTAGTCTTTTCCTCAGACCCTGCACTTCTTGTTTGGGGCTAGCACCTTTCTGAAGGATCTGGTGATCAGAAAGCTGCCACCTGTATTCATGCGACCTGTATGTGGTTCTGGTGGGTTTGTGATGAGTATGTTCCTCAACGAAATGTCCATCCCAGCCACCATCTGCACAAACAGGCTCACTGCAATGAGCTGTGACGGTCTGTGATATCTCACAGTCAAGAGCGCATTCCTCATTCAGGCAGACAGAGCTACAACCATCCTTATCCTCCACTGCCTTTTGATAGATGCGATATTCATCATCTGTATACACTTCACTCTCCGTCTGGCTTGTGTTTCTGTCCAATGTTTGACCATCTGAGAGCTGATGGCTAGTACTATTGCCAACTTGCTGGTGTGAGCACAACAGATCAGGACGGTGATGAGACTCTTCTTTACTGTTCAGTAGATGTAGGGAAAGTCTATGTTGAATTGTAGGTTTAGGCCACGAGAGGGGTACTTCTGTTGTATCACAATGTGTAGCATGATCTACAATGTTCTTTTGGTCATGAACATGTCTTAAGTCTCCATCCTGACGTTTAATTTCTCTTACTCTGCCATTCCTGAACTCCCTGCTTCGGACTTTATTCTCTCTCAGCCTAATTTTGTCCTCTATCCTTAATGTGCTGCTCTCAGGGTACGCAGAGCTATAAACTCCACAAAGCTCTTGAATCGTTTGAACATCCAAGGTGGAGTCTACAGTCGGTGCACTTTCATGGAGCTGTTCACAGGGTGCATCCTTCAGTGTGTGAGATTTCTCCACACTGTCAGCAATTGCTTTAGCCCGGTGAGGATCCCAGGACTTTGACCTGTGACCTGGTCTTTCCCGGCGTCCGGAAGTTGGAATCTTGGCTTCTCTCCTCCTTTGTTCTTTATGGTTGATGTTTGTTTCCACGTCTCTTCCTGGCATTCCCAGAAATGGGTTGTCTATCCGTTTCTTGTAGACACATTTCGGATTCAGAATGGTACTTTCTTCCTGATTGTCAGGTTCATCCAAAGCAAACTCTGCTCTGAGGTGTGGAAGAATTTCATCATCTGCCTCTAAATCTTCAGCACATTGCAAGGTTTTACTCTTTGCCCTTTGTTTCTCTTTGGATGAAGGTCCTCTTCTCCTGCTGCAAGTAGCTCTAGGAGCTGATTTCTTCCCCACGGACTTGGAGGTATGATGCCTCTGCTTAGATAGAAGAGTTTCAGTGGAAATGCCCTTGTCCACAGCTTTCTCCATTGTTCTCTCAGCTTTC